GAAAACCGTCAAGAAGATCATCAATCAATGCATTCGCTGTAAACGATTCACCGCGACACCAGCTACCGTCGAGTCAACATCATTACCAGAAGACAGAGTACGAGATGCTGCAGTTTTCGAAATAGTAGGAGTTGATCTAACTGGACATCTTATCTTAAAGAATAAGAAGAAAGCATGGATTGTCATCTTCACATGTGCAGTGTATAGAGGAGTTCATCTGGAACTTGTGACATCTTTGTCTATGGAAGCCTTCCTCCAAGCTTTCCGCCGATTTATTGCTCGAAGAGGCCGACCATTGATTGTGTATTCGGATAATGGGACTAATTTCAAAGGTATGGCTAATGCTTTAAAGAAGATTGATTTTTCGAGATTAAAATGTGATCCCACATTGAAAAACATCACCTGGAAATTCATACCGCCTGGTGCTCCTTGGTGGGGTGGATGGTGGGAGCGTTTGATTGGAATGATGTGAAACAATTGCTCTTTAGGATTCTCGGTCAAACCTCCTTGGGATATGAAGAACTTTCCACGGTAATGTATGACGTCGAAAGCTTGATGAACACACGCCCACTGACCTACCTAACTGAAGAAAGTGAGGATCTCGCTCCATTGACACCTTCGTTGTTTTTACATGAGGTCAGAGAGGTTGGCGTTCCAGACCTGGACTTGATTGATAACCAGACCCTCTCCCGCAAATATCAATATATCAAACGTGTACGAGAAGATCTTAGAGAACGATTCCGTATCGAATATTTTGGATTCCTGAGACAAGAAACGAGACGCCTGAAGACTACCATACCATTCAAGGTGGGAGACATGGTGCTCATTGGACAAGAGAGTTTAAAGAGACTACACTGGCCGTTAGCCAGAATAATCCAACTCTATCCAGGAAAAGATGGACTTGTGAGGGTTGCGAAAGTGAAAACTTCATCAGGTGATAAAATACGACCTATTCAAAAACTCTACAATTTAGAGATAACGCCCGAGATAAGATGTCGAGACCCTCTAACGGAGCGATCTCCCACACAAGAAGTTCGATTGACAACTGAAGAGGACCCTTTGACTTCACAACAAGAGCAACATCACATTGAAACCCCGAATGTTGTGTCAAGTTACGGACGGCCTATCAAGAGACCCAACAGATTGGATCTACTGAACTTTTCCTTTCCATGTTTGAGTCGTCGAGACGCCAACTCAAAGGTGGGAGAAATGTTGGAAAAGAAGCCGTCCGAAGCAGCCAATGGGAGGCCGGCGGAAGCGGCTACGGGGATGCAGCGGCAAAAATGAGAAAACAATAACAGAAAAACTTGTAAACAATTTTCGAACACAAGAATTTGCCCTGATCTCCGATTCTTTTAGTCCAAACATTTAAATATATAATTAATTAAATAATACTTTACTTATTTTCTTAAATTGTAATAAATATAATTTTACCTCCTGTTTTCGTCGTATATTTTAAAAGTGTTATAAACAGCGACGCCTTAACTTTGAACCTTCAACCCCGCCGACCAAGAATAGAGGTGAGTGACTACCTCTATAGAATTTAGATCGTCGTCACAACACAGAATGGCGGTGAAATCGCAATAGACATTTTACCTCAACTCATTTTATTGCCGCCTTTGTTTACAAGCCATTTGTTTATATCTATTTTTACATATCGTTTTTATTGAGTTTTTACTAATTTTGCATGTACATCATTGACTTTTAATGAATGAGAAAAAGAAATTGAAAATAAACATATGAAATATTAAAGTAACACCTTAAAGGAATTTATGTACAATTGAAAATTGTTTTTTTGTAACGTCTCAATTTATATATATATAATATAATTAACACAAAGCAATAACGCGCCATCTATACATATCAAATAAAAGGATTTAAAAGCGCGAATGTTTCTTTTATACATAAAACGAACTTCTACTGTCCTTACTTCGATGAAAAATATATTGGGAGGGCTTGGCTCATCAGTGGTGAACCCTCCCAGCGGTTTCGCCAATTTAATCCACCAGACCGCTTCTCAGAGCTCTAATACTGTATTGGATCATTCTGCTTTTATATGCTACACTGAAGGATGGAATCTTAGAAATGGTTTTCAAGTAAACTATGGACATAAGCTTATAGGACAGTAGAATTACATTCAAATATTTGCTTCGAGCAATGCTCTTCAGCAAACTATAAAGACAATGCCATTAGGAATAAATTAACACAAACAAACTTTATAGTTTGCTGAAGAGCATTGCTCGAAGCAAATATTTGAATGTAATTCTACTGTCCTATAAGCTTATGTCCATAGTTTACTTGAAAACCATTTCTAAGATTCCATCCTTCAGTGTAGCATATAAATCAGAATGATCCAATACAGTATTAGAGCTCTGAGAAGCGGTCTGGTGGATTAAATTGGCGAAACCGCTGGGAGGGTTCACCACTGATGAGCCAAGCCCTCCCAATATATTTTTCATCGCAGTAAGGACAGTAGAAGTTCGTTTTATGTATAAAAGAAACATTCGCGCTTTTAAATCCTTTTATTTGATATATAATATAATACACATATATAAAATAAATAATGAAATAAATTAATAATGATATTTTATGTGAATATATCAGCATTTTCTATAGTTAAATAGCGAATATTCTAAGATTTTAAAACAAAAAAAAAATTCAAAGGTAAATAACGACATATTAATGTATAATGTCAAGGTTTGAATAATATATAAACTACATTTAATCTAAAATACCAATATTTCAGCATTTAAAATTAACATTTATTAATTATATACCAAAACCTTTTACTCAAATAACACATATTCGATTTTTTCTTCAAATTTCTTATTTAAAACTCATATAAACCACCTTTTTATATCCATTTTTATATTATATTTACTATTTCACACTAATGTCAAATGAATAAACTCCATATCGTGTCAAAATGTAAAGTTTAAAAGATTTTATTGAATAAAATAAACACATAAAAGTAGTAATAAATGGGAAGGTGTTAATAATCAAATTGTCAATATAAATCGAAATGTTATTTTCAAACTTCAAAATATTGTTAATCAATATCAGAGTTCTATTTTTAAAGTATAAAATGTTGTTTTTGCATCAAATGTTTTCATCATTCATATAATGTGAGATAATAAAAGGACAATAACGTTTGAAGTTAAATAGAAGTAAATATTTGCAGAGAATATGGAATCAGTGAATTCTGATATAAATACTAGTTTAGGAAATTCAGAAAGTGAGCTTTAAAGATCATGGGTCAATCTATGGACATATATTTAGTACACATTGAGAGGAAGTAATCTAACCCTAACTTACTCCAGACCTTTTTTAATTGATTCACTGAGGTATAAAAAACTATTAAAAAATATATCAACTCATTTTCAACGAAATTTGTTTCTTTCACAAATTGAAAAATTACTGTTGCTCCTTTTGAGATGTATTTTTTGGGAGGATCTAGTTCATCAGTAATGAACCCTCCCAGCGGTTTTTACCATTTTAGAATATTGTTTTATTTGTTAAGAGAAACATGAATCGCGCCAAATAGTTTCATTCCTTTAATATAGATGGCGTGCTAAATGCACTATTTTTACTTAAACATATGAAGTTGACTTAAAGAACTGTTTAAAGAATACTTATCACAATGCAACAAATACTAAAAAAATAAAAAATTGTAAAATATATGCACCTAATATGTCGGTCTATGTGAAGTTTATATTCGCTTTCTCATTGGCTAGATCACGCTTCCTATCGACAGGAGATAATCATCTCGACGCATGCGTAATGCCACTTCATTTTTTTTGTTCGTCACGACGTACACACGATAGTAGTCTCATAATATCATCACTATATTTATCGGTATTTCAAATTGTTTATTAAAGAAAAATTTAATAAAGAAATTATAAATTAAATACATATTTATTTAGTTATCCTTGAATTTATTTTTCGCATGTGAGATTATATATTTTGGAATATATGTTAATATGTGAAAAACAAGAAAAATAAAAATATAAAAATGGTCAAGTGTTAATATTAAAAACAAAAAGGGCATATAACCTGACCGCTCACATAAGCATTTTCAGATCGAAGAACGCCATCTAGTGGAACAAAGTTCAACTAAACGTTGATTTAACTTGTTCTATCATATTTAGCCAACCTATTTTCTTAATAAATCAAGAAAACCAATTACGTTTATATTTTAACATTTTATATACAAATATATTCATATTTTCAAACCTCTTATTAAAATTTTATATCTGAATTTATCCTAAAAAACACATCTCGGACAATGTAATAAACAAAAAGTATCGAAGCCTATATTTAAAGTAAAAAGATAAATGTGTTAAAAAAATATACAATCCATTAAAAAAACACGGAGGCATATAAGAACTACATTTAATTTCTAATTACAAGGGATTGACAAGATGGCGTCTGGTGACACTGCTTCGACAAAAAATTACGTCATTATAAACTGCTAATTCATCCAATCAATAAATCTTTAATGAGTTTTTAACAGAGCAGACGATATTTTTGACCTGTCGTTTGGTTAGATATACCTACCTTGAGTTAGCCCTTTGTGTTTCGAGACACAATCCTTTAACTATAAATATAAAGATATAATAATGATATTTAGAATGGTTAATAATTTTTTGATTATTTTGTATATATGTATGGTTTTATTCCTTTTTTATATTTATTTATATAAAATTTAGTGAGTTACTCTATTTTTTAGTCTATTTATTGCGCGTTTTTTCGTATTCGTAGCATTATCAACATGGATAAGAAAATGGCCTAATTTTGTCGGTTAATAGTTTAATTTTTTATAATAAAATATAATGCGGCTTATGATTGTAAAACGACGTTTGACAAGTTTTACCGCAAATGTTTCTTTTGAAAGAAAATTCGTAATTTATTTTAAGGAGAAATAACGACTATTTCTAACCTTGAGGATGAAGTATGAAAGGATGAATTGTGAAGAGTAATGATGAACGGAAAATTAAAGTGTCCAAGGATGGGAATCGAACCCACAATGTTCCGCTTACCGGGCAGATGCCATGTCCACTAGGCTACCCTGGGAACATTATTTTCCGTTTTTAAATATTATATATAAAGTTAATTTATAATACAATATAATGCGGCTTATGATTGTAAAACGACGTTTAACGATGCCCTCAGATTTTTTGCTGAACTGTAGAACCGGTAGTGCAAATTGACAAAATTCACAAAGGTCGTTGAAACTGAGAAATACTTGTAAAGATTTTTATGATGAATTAAAGCTCCATATGTAACAATTAATTATAAATATTTTTATCCCGTATGATTAAAAGATAAATAAAATAATTCTCTACCTCCTTTACTGCAATTCTATATACACTTACGAGCGTCATTCTTCATCAGTCATCTCTGTCACCGTTTGCTTTTTTTTTGGAATGGCGCCCTCCTATTGGTCGGCTACGATCACGCCACCTTTGCCCCCCCCCCCCCCCCCCATCATGCCCCCCCCCCCCCCCCCCCCCACTCGCTTTTTCGTTTTTGTAACCATTGTGTTGGAGCGGGTCGCTTCTTAAATAAATGCATATAATAGTTAATAACCAAATGGAATCCTATCTTTCTTTTTCCCAGAAAGAGACGCCTACGGAAGCCAACAGTACATAGACAGATAAAGCACATAGGCTATAGTTATTAACTAACATATGCATTTATATAAGGCGCCAATTTATAATTGTAAAAAATAGTATTTGAATCAAAACATTCAATCGGGTAAAACACGGGCGTTGCCCGGGTCATTCGGCTAGTGATAAAATAATGGGAGGGCCTGACTCATCAGTGGTGAACCCTCCCAGCGGTTATGTTGATAGGGATGTGAGGCTGCTCTTATTATTATTCCCCCCCCCCCCCCCCCCCCCCCTTTTCCTTGAACAAGAGGACTTCAATGGAATATCTCCAAATTCCTTTATTCTTCTCATAATATGTTATATTTCACAAAATTATTTTCCGTCAATTTACACTCATGGACATCAAACATATGGAAGTTGTTCCTTTTAGCATGTATATCAGGATCCATACAATAATTCTGAAAGATATTACAGTGAACTTTATTGAAGACACACGAGATAACCAAGTGTAAACAACAGTGTCTCCTTAAAAATAATAATAATAATAATAACAGACGACTCCGGCGACATTAGAAACTTTCCACTTCCTTAAGTTTTGTTTATGAATATATTAAAAAATATATTTTGTTTAATAAAATAGGTTGAATAATTACTGAAGCAACGGGTGTCCAGTGTGTATCATATTAATTTGTCCCACTGCGCGCCGTTGCGTGCCCAGAGAAGGAGGAGTGTAGATTCTTGGTAACTAGTAATAAGTTTCGTTTTTCCACCACATTCATTCAAAGTTATATTCGAAAATACCAAAATAAAATAATAATTATAATAATCTAGACGTGTTTAAACACCAGTTTAAAGATAATCAAATCACTACTTGTAGGTAAATCGTTTTTAATTATTAATAATTAAACCTTTTTTGCTGGGGCCAAACAAAATAATCAATTATCAAATTTCCGGGTATTTTTCAATTAACAAAATAATGCAACCTTTTAATTATGGGAAGAGAGAGAGAGAGGGATCTGGATTTTTTTATTATCGTTTGGCGTGAAATAATTAGTGGAGGCAGACGAATATTGGAATAATCGTCTGTGATTAATTGTTCGTGGAATTTATTGCGCGGTTTATAAGGAGGAGAATCTTCTGCTGTCTTTGCTAAGCCTTTTTAAAAAGGTTTTTAATTAGATGTTAATTGTAAAAGAGACTAATTTTCCATTACCTTTCATTCTGTAAATAGTAAATCGCTAAATTGGGAAGAGAAATTTATATTATTTCTACGAAATTATTTGGCGGTTTTTGCACATTGTTGTTTCCGATATTGTTTGACTATTTCTTGAATATCTTTAGAATATTCTAATTGTAAGGTTTAAATACGCCCTCTACCCCGGGTAATTAGCCTCCTTCGCTCTAGGAACCTGGGTTATAAACATCTCTTTACGTTATCTATGAGTAAGATTTGACATTATCGTCGTGCGCTATTCACTGAACGTTAATTCCTACCAAATAACTCAAGGTCAGCCTTTAATCCTGATCATGTTAGAAGGGTGTAAACCAGCCGTTATCTATCCATATAACCTACCACAGATTTCACTACAAGTTCTGTAAGAATTCCCCATCAACTCAATAAGCAATCTTGAAGATAGAGGTTACCTGGCTGGCATTTATATATCTAAAATAATAGACATTTCGGTCAGATAAATAGAAAATAAAACTTTATCTGACTGAAGTGTCTATTATTTTATAAATAAATAAGAATTGTATTTGTAAATGTGTGGATTGACTGTTCCCTGAGACACGTGATCTCCTGTCAAGCCGGCAATTTCTCCTCAATTCCACAACTTGGAAGCTTGGAAAAGTTAATGTGTGTGTATAATCTGTTAAGTTTATATCCATTGCCCTTGTGGTATATTTAGCGGCTATAAAGTTTATATTTAAAACAACAACAACAATAGCCTTTATTGGGCACACGTGCCATACAGGATTCTCTCTGTAGGACAAAATAAATAAATAACAAATTAGCATCGTAGTTATATACAAATATTGGGTATTGACCTCGACCAATTATCGAGTTGGATCCGGTGTCTGTGCTAAATATTTTGATTGAGCTGATTTCCAGTATTTATAAAAGGCGAATGCAAAGGGTCTGGATTTTACGACTTCTGCCATTAAAACATAAGGCGAATTGCTATTATAGCCGGTCTCTTGACGAAGAATTTCTCTTTCTTCTTCCATTGCCGTACAGTAGAACATGTAGTGTGGAAAATCGAGACTAAATTCACCGTTGCATAAGGTGCATTTTATGGTCTTAGTTTTCAATAGTGAAACATGATTAATTCTCTGTACTACAAAAAGGCTTCTTACTTGTACAATGATTCTCTTTAAGGTTAGGGGGATATTGTCATTCAGATAGCATTCCATTGTAGGTGATGAATTAAAGTATTTATAGTGAGAGTAGAGTACTGATTTTCTTATTCTTACATAATCCAGCTGCAAGGACTGATCGGTTGCCGTTCTAATAATTAGGGGGATGTATCTTTGTAGAATATTGAAGTCTGTACATCCAACAAGCCATGAGAAGCCGGTGTTATTAAGTAGCTCTGTTATACTTTTTACCAGTCCGGTGTTCTGTTTTGAAGAAATTGAAATGTCCCGCAAATGTGCCAAACATATTGAAGGTAGCCTGCTGCCGTCCATTTTCAGAATTCTAGTCCAGAATTTTAAAGTTAGTTTTTTCACCGTGATATCAAGAGAGTGTCTTCCTGTTTCGGCCCTCAAAATATAGCCCGGAGTATAGCTTGGAAGGCACAAAAAAAGTCTGAGAAAGGTATCCTGGATTCTATCTAAGATTAAGGCTTGATCATGTGCCCAGATTGGAGCCGCATATTTAAAACAAAAAGGCATATCCTGACCGCTCAAATGAGATTTTGGAATTCCAGAGCGCCGGAAGGAAATGGATCTATAAAAGGATAGAGCGCCTCTCTCTCCCGTCAAAATAAGGCGTCAAAACTAGACGTCATCTACTGACCGTCGCCGCAAATATAATTGAATATAAATCTACTGTCCTATAAGCTTATGTCCATAGTTTACTTGAAAACCATTTCTAAGATTCCATCCCTCAGTGTAGCATATAAAAGCAGAATGATCCAATACAGTATTAGGAGCTCTGAGAAGCGGTCTGGTGGATTAAATTGGCGAAACCGCTGGGAGGGTTCACCACTGATGAGCCAAGCCCTCCCAATATATTTTTCATCGCAGTAAGGACAGTAGAAGTTCGTTCTATGTATAAAAGAAACATTCGCGCTTTTAAATCCTTTTATTTTATATGTATAGATGGCGCGTTATTGCTTTGTGTTAATTTATTCCTAACTGGCCTTGTCTTTATAGTTTGCTGAAGAGCATTGCTCGAAGCAAATATTTGAATATAAATCTACTGTCCTATAAGCTTATGTCCATAGTTTACTTGAAAACCATTTCTAAGATTCCATCCCTCAGTGTAGCATATAAAAGCAGAATGATCCAATACAGTATTAGGAGCTCTGAGAAGCGGTCTGGTGGATTAAATTGGCGAAACCGCTGGGAGGGTTCACCACTGATGAGCCAAGCCCTCCCAATATATTTTTCATCGCAGTAAGGACAGTAGAAGTTCGTTCTATGTATAAAAGAAACATTCGCGCTTTTAAATCCTTTTATTTTATATGTATAGATGGCGCGTTATTGCTTTGTGTTAATTTATTCCTAACTGGCCTTGTCTTTATAGTTTGCTGAAGAGCATTGCTCGAAGCAAATATTTGAATATAAATCTACTGTCCTATAAGCTTATGTCCATAGTTTACTTGAAAACCATTTCTAAGATTCCATCCCTCAGTGTAGCATATAAAAGCAGAATGATCCAATACAGTATTAGGAGCTCTGAGAAGCGGTCTGGTGGATTAAATTGGCGAAACCGCTGGGAGGGTTCACCACTGATGAGCCAAGCCCTCCCAATATATTTTTTCATCGCAGTAAGGACAGTAGAAGTTCGTTTTATGTATAAAAGAAACATTCGCGCTTTTAAATCCTTTTATTTTATATGTATAGATGGCGCGTTATTGCTTTGTGTTAATTTATTCCTAACTGGCCTTGTCTTTATAGTTTGCTGAAGAGCATTGCTCGAAGCAAATATTTGAATATAAATCTACTGTCCTATAAGCTTATGTCCATAGTTTACTTGAAAACCATTTCTAAGATCCCATCCCTCAGTGTAGCATATAAAAGCAGAATGATCCAATACAGTATTAGGAGCTCTGAGAAGCGGTCTGGTGGATTAAATTGGCGAAACCGCTGGGAGGGTTCACCACTGATGAGCCAAGCCCTCCCAATATATTTTTTCATTGCAGTAAGGACAGTAGAAGTTCGTTTTATGTATAAAAGAAACATTCGCGCTTTTAAATCCTTTTATTTTATATGTATAGATGGCGCGTTATTGCTT